ACGGCCAGCCTGGCATTCTACGACCTGCCGCTTAGCAACGGCCGCGGAAGCGGCTCGAAGCTGCCAGCAGCTTCGAGCCCAGTGGGACTGGGAGCTGAGGATGCCTCAAAGGTTGTGCAGGCGCAGGAATTCAAAAGCAGACGGCGTTTTAGGCTTTATCGGCTGTCCAGTCCAGAGCGGCTGTGATTAACTGGGCCAGTACTCCACACAACGAACAGCAGCGAACTCAAACGTTTGCCTGGTCTCTTCAACGGGATGTCCTGCGGCGCTTATTATGTACTGGTAGGTCCAAGTCGAACACTTCCGACATTGAGTGCCCAGACTAGCTCAATCGCTCAGCACCCAGAAACTTAAGTCATCACATGTGATGGCCAGGACATCAGATCAGCAAGCACTCAACTTAGTACACGGTTGAGGGTGTCTAGAAAGCACCACTGCAAGCTTGAGGAGTAACTGGCGTCCCTACACGCCGGTACTGTGAGTAGGAAAGAAAGAGGAAGCTTGGAGGAGCTTCTTGCACGTCCACATGTGCTCGTTCAGGAAGCCGCTGATCCAATTCACCACCGTCATCCCGCAGTAGTTCTTTTAGTGCTCGCAATTAAGGACGAAGTCAAGATGTTCTGCGATTTAGCGCACGGACAATTGTCGCTCTGGTCTACATACCATAAACAAGGCCTCCAGGGAAATGTGCGAGATTTTGTCCGTCATCAGCTCTTTGCGACGTTTGCGACAGAGAGCATGGATTTAGCGAGCCTTTTGGGCTTATGATCTGGTTTCCTTTCTCAAATTCTCGCGTCCCTTTCGAGCAGTTTGCCCCCTGCCGGGGCACTTTCCTCCTCGAACTCTCTAAGTCGAGCAGAGTGTTCCCTTTTTCCCCTAGAAAAGCAAGCCCTTCCGACAATTTGCTCCTTCTTTCATGAACTCTCCGTCCTCTCGAGGGTTGCTCATGTCGGTGCCAAGAGAACCAGAAACTCCAAGTAGAAGAAGTCGTGAGCGTACGGCATGCTTCCCTCATTCCGTCCAACGGTGCCTTCCCAAGTCTGCACGTGCTCGCGTGTTCCACCCCACACAGCCCCATGTCCACCCTCCTCAGTGCAGCCAAGCAAGTTTATTTAGATCTACAGTTTAGCGTTTGCCACCCATTCCATTCATCTAGAATCTAGCCTTGCAGAAACGCACCTCGCTGGGTCGTTTTTGACCCGTCAACTCCTTCTTGTGAAGGGACAGATCTCCGATTGTGCAACCATGCAGCCCAATACACAGCCCAGAGAGCACACGTCGGGCTGCAGCTTTTGGAGCAGGGCGAATCGGAGTGACTCCATCCCCCTGGCGCAAGACATGCGACTAGGAGCATGCAGGCGAGGTGCAATCCAGCTCCAACTCTTCAAGTCTTGGCAGAGGGACAATGACCAGCGACAATCGACTGCCACCATTGCAGCCATCAAGATGTTTGTGCCCACCTGCTTGAAGCGTTGCAACATGTTCAACTCAACCGAGGCAACTACCAGTCAGATGGCACCTTGTCCATGCACACCCCTTGCTTAGTGGCGGCCGCATATGCAGACAGCGTCTGCTTCCAGAGCAGCTCGCCTCAAGGCAGGGGCTCACAGGAAACTGATCTTGAGCTGCATGGACTCATGAGTTCGGTCTGGAACTGAGCCCATCAGAACTGGGTTCTTCGCCCTTCAAGGCCGTTGCTGCAGAGTTCATCGTGGCGATGTCGGGCTGAAGATGTGAGACTGACATCGCATGCACCAGTGCAAAGGCTTGCTGCCAGCGGAAAGGGGAAGATCGCAATGCCGCAATAGCCGCATTATACCTCGTCAGATCATGAGCAGCTTGCTCCAGGCCCTAAGCACAACAAATGCGGCAGTCCGAGTTTCATCCGGACATCAACCATCCGAGGTGTGGTGCCTCCGGCGCCGGCACCTGGATGTTGCAAGTTCGAGGGCTGAGCTGGGTGCAGCTAGATCCGCGATGTGTGAACATCCCTGCCTCGAGAGTTGAGTGCCACTTCAAAGAGTGCCAAAGCTTCCTGCCACCAGCCCGCGCTGCCGAGAGCTTGGATGGCAGCGGAGGAGTCCTGGGGCGAAGTGTTTCTTTGGGTGCTTGGGCGGTGGTCATGTCTCCATCCTGCCCTAAACCGCTCAGGCTCAGGCCCCGGCCTGTGCTGATGCCAATAGGCCTTTCTGTTGCAACTCCGACAGTATACGCGCGATTCGAAGGCGTCCAGCGGCTGTGCGACCTCTGGTCCACAAACCATGGCTTCTCTGCAGCCGTTGTGCTCACTTTCTGTTCGCCTGTGCTGCGCAGGCTTCGAAGCTGCTGCTGCAACCAAAACCTGGGCCAAAGAGCTTCGCATGGCGCACAGTAGCTTGAAGCCGTCACAATGAAAACCGATAAGCAAATCAGAAGTGCGCAGAAGGACTTCGCACCAAGAAACTTCCTGGAATTCTGTCGCACATCTTGCGCTCGCTTGCGGGCAGGGCCCAAAGTGGCCTGGGCCTGCCGTTTGGGCTCTCACGCGCCCTTCCCCTGAAACTGTAAACTCCTGGCTGGTTTCCTGCAATACTGTTACATTTGGTCTTGAATCGAGCGTGGATCACTTGACACTCAGCTTCCCGCCGACAACTGCCAGCCAAGCTTGTTATTATTTTGTATTTAGATGCGACGCCCTTGCTAACAAAATCTCCGATTGCAGACAGGCAGAAGAGAGCAACAGAAGTCTCGTTTTTCGAGGGACCGCGTTCGTGAGAGGAGGTTGTGCTCGAAGCGGACAGGGGTCAAAGAGAGACATGCCTTAACCACAACAACACGATGAAACCGGAATATCCCGAGGAACTTCCATCGAGCCGCTCGGGGTCAGAAAATAGAATCCGAATTCAACGAGCACTCGAGAAGTGAGGAGGATCCCCAATACCTCAACAAGAGTTGCAGCCGGCATTCGGGACGACGTCAGAATCCCTGAACGTCATCCTGAACAGGCGGATGCCCCTCAGCTCCCCTGCGCGCCATCCGTCCATGGACCGGAGCAGAAACAGCTCGTACTCTGCTGCCACGGAATCATCAAGCTCCATAGCTGGCGCAGAATGCTGAGAAGGGGCTCCTAGGGTCCTCCACGGCATGCGAAAGGATGTCTGCTCCAGCTCTGACGTAACTGTTGGCTCCAGTGCAGAGAGGCTACGGAGCAGAGTTCGTTTTGCAGATGTGAAGCAACATGCTAAGCAAGACTGGGCTCGTTATGAGAGCTTGTAGCTGTGTTCGTCGATGGGATGCCGTACTTCCAAGCTTCGTATCGCACTCAATGAATGGACCAGCTTGAGTATATAGGAAGGAAATCAACCTGCAGAGGTGCCCTTTCAATCGGAAAGCCTCGGGCCAAGTCGAAGCTTCCAAGACAACACCCGCCACATCTAGACTGTGCTTTGTGGCCAAGTTTGATCGCCTTTGCTTCGTGAGTGGGGAGAAAGATTCGCCGAACTTACGAGTTCACGATAGTTCACGCAAGCAAGTAAGCACGCGTTGGCCCTACTACGGCCTATGCAGTGATCACGGTTGACGGGTGTGCAGCAGTCGCACTCTAAGACTCTAAGATCGCCAAACCATGTTAGTCAATCTTCACGGTTGCTCTCTGCACCCGTCTGCTGTCAAGTGCTGCTACCACATCCATGTCAGTCTTTGCTTTCCGTCCTCTTCTCGAGTACATCTGTGTCTTCATCATCGTCCGAAGACAAAACAGAATCAACGTCGATGGTGTTTGTAGTCGGGCCTGTGGTCGCCACCCAATGTGTCAAGGTCAGAGTGTGTCATGAAGCGGACACGACAGCAGGGCCCTTGGCGTTCACAAAGTGACAAAGTCATCACCATCCACCGCGTCGATGCTGGAGTCTGGCCTGAGGCCGGACACATCTGCAGGGCTTTTAAATTTTGACGTTCACGAAGTCATCGCCCTCCACCGTGTCAATGCTGATCTTTGCTCTGCGGGCGGACACATCAGCAAGGGCCCTGCCATTCACGAAATCCGCCGTGTCAATATCGGAGTCTGTCGTGATGCTGGGCACGTCGGCAGGACGCTTGCCCTTGTGGTAGTCGTTACCATGGACAGTGCTGCATGCCGCCCAATGAGTGCCAGCCAGCATGTTTGAACGCATGCCGTCTCCAGTATAAGCCGGAACGCTCAGGAAGAAGCTGCTGTAAACCAGGTCTGGGCCACGTCCCAGGACATCCCACATGTGCGTATTTGCAACAAGTGCGTTTCTTGTGGGCATCCCACTCACGGTACCAGTTCTCTGTGTTGGAGCAGTATGGCGCACTCAGAAGTCGTCGCACCGGAGAAATTCACTTGACCACCACAGGAATCACTGGCACACCGGTTCGACGCAGGTTCGATGGATCGCCACCATATAATGATGCACGCTGTAATTTGGTTCAGGGCTTAAGCCGGTGTAGGCGCCGTTCAGATGGCGCACCACATGGTGCAAGACCGTGTGGACTCCAAGATGTCGTCCACGTAGGCTGGCCGAGTGCGTCAACGGAGCGCACGGCTCAGCAGCGAAAGTAGATCGGGCATTGCAAGAGAGAGCCACGGGTGCTAGCAAACACGTGCTCAGAGCAATGCCAGCACCAGCAAATGCTCGGCACCACTGGGAAGGAGACGCGGGTTCCTTCACAGTATTCTCAGCACTTGCCATGTGCGCCGCCAGGTGTTTCGTCGAGACACTTGAAGAAACTTGTCTCTGCACAGGCGGCAACCAGATGCAACCAGCATGTGCACCATCCGTCACAGGTTCTGGAGGAAAACTCACTCTGCCTGTATTGACTCTCTAGTTAGCTAACTCCCCTGCCGTACTCTTATTCAAAAAAATTCCGGATGGTGGCTTCACGTCGTGGGAGAGATTCGCAGAAGCAGTTATGTGGTGAGTTGCCTTTTTTACACGCTGTCGGCAAAGAGGCACCAGCCAGTCAGCGCTGAAAGGTTCATAACAACATGCAAAAGGAGATCAGTCCAGGTTCCAGGAGTCCTTCGCCGGCATGCTCAAAGACGCATGTGTGCCGAACAGTGTTGATAAGCAACTACAACTAGGCCGAGACCTCGCGCTTTTCGCGTATCTGTGTGTCGCCTGGTCCTGGGTGCGCGCCAGCATGATTGACAAACTATGTGTCTGAAACACATTCTAGGACGTGGGATCGGCTCAGCAGCAGGCCAACCACCGAAAAGCATGCATCCAACTGTAGCAGCCGATGGTTCTTTTTTTGCCTGGACAACACATCACAGTCGGAGACAGTTTGCGCAAAAAGCCACGACGATCTGCTGAGCCTGTTGATGACCAGCTTGCACTCCAGAGAATCTCCACGATTCACTTGAAGCGCAGGAAAGAAACCAAAGAGCCTCAAAGAATCCGCCGAGTCCCGATTCCGCGCTACTGCAAGCATCTTCTGTTTCGCCCGTTTCGCCTCCAGTATAGTGACACGCCCCCTTCTGGCCTAAATTTGCCTTGTACGACCCCGCACATCCTATGTAACAGATCTTGATCTGTGGGCAGGACATGTGGATTGAGTGTCCAGCTGTTGCCCCCAATGCGTGTGCGTTGAAGTTGTAGGCGCAGTCGTCAGCACCACTTCCTGCAAGCAAAGAACTTGACAGATTTCCGTAAAGATGCAACGGATGGGTAACGAGGCCAAGCAAATTCGCTGAGAAGCACTTCGCTCGACCCTTGCCTAAGTTCTACGGCGGGGCACGTTGCTGCAGGACCTACGAAAACAATCGCACGGTGCTGCGGACGACAGTGCAACAGATCTAGATCCTGGGATGCTAGCGGCGAGAATGCCCTGCCATGGTATGCCATGGTGGCAGCACAGCCACGATCACAGGCAAATTCATCAAGATCCTCTTGCTGTTGCTGTTGTCGTGAAGTCATTTCTTCACGGCAGCAACCTCACTTACGTACGAGTCAGAGGAATCTGTCAAGCAGTTCCCAACCCCATCAAGACTCATGCCACTTTCCCGATGAACCGAAATCAAGCTCTGATCGAGCGCATCTCTAGAGAGTGTGCCCGCTTCCCTGCTCAATGATCCGGACAAGAAGTGACAGCAAACCACCAGATGGAGCCATTGACAAGACGTGCAGAATCTGACACAGAACTCCAACAGGCTACACCGGAAGGGCTGCACGTGATGCTGTTCTCGGAAAACACTCGCGGAAACAACATCACGCGCAGAATTGCAGAATGCTGGTTTCATCGAAACGCTGTCCTGCATGCGTTGGTGGAGTTATGCACTACTACCTGTACGGCACAATGACCGGAAGCAACGTGCCAAGGCCACGGAAAACAGAACATGGCACTGGCTCAACAATCCGACGCAACTATACTAGACCGACATAGGCGAAGGAGGCAAAGAGGATACTGATTGCGCAGAGAATCGGGCCTGCTTCACCGGGTTCTGTGGCGAACCACGGAACGCAACATCGAAGTACCTGAATGAGCTTGAGTGGGACTTGGGTAGACTTTCGGACAATCAGAACCTGCGAAGCTGCCCAAGCGCACCCAGCGAAACCGTCGAGGTGTCCATCTTTGGTAACCCTGAGGATGTCCGAAATCCATCTGACTAGCATAGCTGCTCTGATGCGATACCATGCGATACCAGAGTAGCCCAGCGCCTCATTGCGCATGATAGTGGTCTAGCGGCCTCTTGGGCGCTTCATGGTGCTCCGGGACCGCAGAGCAGCAAGAAGACCCGCCTTCAAATCCTCCACGGTGATTTTCAGTAAATCCATTTCAAGCACAGGACTTGCGGTTCCAGCCAACTGCTTCGGCCTCAGCATGCATCCTTGACTTCACGCTCGGCCAGAACAGAACGATGGTTAACACATTCTTCCACACCTGGCACCTGAACCTGAAAGCAAGCGAGCTACTCGGGTGACTTTGCACCTCCAAAAGCCTGAATGCATATATCCGTTGATGACAGTTTGCGGTGATAGGAGTTAGGATTAGGGGGACCCTTGGGGATAAAGACCCTCTCAATAAGGTCCCTTTTAAGAGAGCCATAAGAAGGGATAAGAAGGGTCCCCTTTGAGGGGTCTCCCTAATACTTCCTAGGAGTTGACCATAAAGACAACATTGCACATGTCCAAGTCAGCAGCTGTCGCTTTTCAACAACTCACACGCACTGGTGCACTGGGGCAGAGACGAAAACTTCTCTGGATCTTCTTTCCCATCACTCTGTTGCATCGAGACCAGGCAGAATACTAGAGTTCGGGTCTTGGCAATACCTGCGTGTCTTCCATTCCTCGGTGATGGTCGGAGAGAACTCGGGTCCCGGCGAAAGGTTGACAAACATGCCAGTCTGCAAATAATACCTGATCCAGCCAGTGTCAGCATGCCTCTCCTCTGCACAAGTGAGACGGCGTCCCACAGCTTCTCGAAACACTTAAAGCAAGTAGCATGCGTTGCTCTGCAAGGAACTCTTCACGCATGCAGGAAAAGTCTGTACCATACCACTGAACCATCGAGCCGTTGAAGTCCTCGAAGTGCCTCGGGAAGATAGCAAGAGGTCCGATGGGCACATGTTCCTGCTAATCAGAGATGACAAGTTCACAAGAACCAACGAGTTCACAATGTGCCCTGGCCCTTTGAGCTTTGAGGCAGTCGCTGCCGCTCCCCATCAAAGGTTTGCTGCTTCTCACGGCACGCTTTGAACGGACCGACCGGCGCCAGGAAAAGCGTGGCATGCGAGGGGAAGAGGGCGCCACCTCTGCGTGCCAGCCAATGCAGCTGGAAAAGTTTGTGGGTGTGAGCCCATCTACAAACTAATTCTCTTGTTTTGTCCTGGCTTGAGGAAGCGGTCGCGGGCGACCAAGACGCCTGCTCATCACTTCAGCAAGGCGCTTCAGCACGCGTCAATTCAGAGCCAGCAGAGCTATGCGACCATCTGTTGGCCGAGGGGCTGTCCAGCATACTCTCTCTCAGCAAAAAATAACCCATCCATTCCTGGCTCGGGCACGTCCACGACTATGATTCACATAGCACTGCTTCTGCGCTGCTTCTGTAGGTGCAGCTGGGCATCGCTAATAATGACGTCTACCATGCATGGCAGCGTCGCTGTTTCCTGATTATGCCACCCCATCGGCTGTGAACAGCATGGACCATTGAAAAAAATCATCTGAACTATGCAAAACTCTCTGTTAAAGGGACGCCAAGGCTCGATGGTCCCTTGGACAACGTGAATGACGTGGCTCAAACCTGGCCAAGAAAACAAGAAGCATCTCGGCCGCATGTTGGGACTTTGAAGGCCTTGTGCTTCCACAATTTTGCGACTTCGGTTAGCCATGTCAGTGGCCTGTTCTTGCCCCACGCTGAGGGCATTCAAGTTGCTTCCTAAACGTTCGAAACCAGCCTCCACAGCGAAGACTTGCTTGGCCCCTGCCTTCGCTGCGAAGATTGACCTGGAGGTGGACGGCATGATTGAACACGGGCAAAGCAGTGCAAAAGAGCTCTCCACTTAGCAGGCTGCAGTATGCAAGTTCCAGCACCTACATCAAGCACCTCGGTTTTAGTTCGCATCAAAGCGACATCGAAAGAGGCTGAAGCAGGTATCAGGTAACTACTTGCTCAGGTTAGCGCAACTTTGTCCTTGAAGCTGTCTCGATTCCGCCTAGTTCCAGGGAAACGGGCGCACGTGAAAGGTTCAATGCTCTTTGGTTTACCAAGACACGTTATGGCATCGAAGTAAGATCCTGTGCGATGGACATCCTGCAGATCTGCTTGAGAACCCTGGGGCCATTCCCAGGCCCATAGCTGTTTCGCAAATACTTACGAGCTGCCAGTGTAAGCCCGGTCCTCGAGCATGTCCATCTGATGATACAGGTAGGCATACTCGCAGAAGTAATTTGCGTTGTCCTTTCTGGGCGCCAGCTGCGCTAGTGGCCGCAACAACGAGAAAGGGAGAATCGCCAGTGCCAGTGCATCACCGTGCAGTCAAGTTGCAGTTTCGTCTGGTGGCTTCCCATCTTTCACTGCGACACCTGTAACAACCGGGACGCCAGCAAATGAGTCGAACAGCCCTTGAGCCGGACAAAGAGTGACGAGGTGTACGGTAGAATGCTAGGATAAGCATGGCATTTAAAATTCGTCCAGTGGACACCCGGGGCCCGGAGCCGTGAAAATGCTGCTAGCCATGCCTGCAAAGGCAACACTTGCAAAACAGGGCCCGCATGTGACAAGATTGGCCACCATTCAAGGAGAGGAGCGCGCATAGAAGCAGAGCCCCGGAAAGGCGAAGAATGGAGAGGAAGCAATAGCCAGCAACAGAATCGTCCTACTTCCACTGTGCTACACTGGACCCAGGGACCCCTTTAACAAAACCTTAACATTTGCCCCCCCCCCAAAAAAAAAGAAAAAACATGTTATGCAAAATTCCGACATCGTGTCTCGTGATGGGGGCGCCTTTGCAATACTGGGCTCAAGTCCAGCCAGACCACGACCTCTCATCAATCCTAAACCCCAAACCATCCGTACCTAGTCCAGGTCCTTCGGCAGCTTCAGCATAGCCATCAGACATGCTTACCGCATTACAGGCTTTCAGAGGGCTGAGGGTCTAGAGTGTAGGACAGATGTTGGAACGAAGTTCGCCACACCTCCGGTGCTAGGGGCTGTGCTGCAGCGGCTCGACTTGCATACGGGGCCACAGATGTGGTAACTCGCACTTGCCGTGAAGGTTGCGGTGCCTGTCATCATTTCGTCTTCTTGTAACACAATGGGCATGTTGTATCGGCGCCCGACATGCCATCAAGCAAGGTCACTTCCAAAAAAACACCGAAATTGCACGTGACCCCAATGGCCAATGACAGTCTGCAATTGCATCTGCAGATCTTCTGCTTTCACCAGTGCATCTTCTGCACGGTACAGGCAGCTACCAGAACCCGGCAGAACTGCACCTCTTGCCGGGTCTGCAACCTGCGAGACTTGGGGCCCCTGGCCCCTGGCATCGCCCACTTTGCTCACCGGCGGCGCTCAGATGCGCGACGCACGGCGCAGCTGCGAAACCGCCCTGGTCGGGGCCTGTCTCACGACACACATCGACACACGACACGGAGGGACTCTGAGTCACGGAGGCTGAAAGCTCAACGCGGTCAGGGCGCGGCTGCAGGGCTTCGCGCAGTAAGCGCTGGTCTGGACCCGCTCTTACTGATTTCGCGGAACTCGCCAAACACGAGCCGTTCCCCTGCACAGGAACGTCGCATGCAGCATGCAGCGAACCCTGAAAATTCCTACATTCACCTAAATGTCGCATATTGGCTGCAAGGCCTGTCTGGATATTGAATTTCCACCTCGGCATTCTGACATGCAATGTGCTGTGAGTGTCCAAAGGTGATTCCAGGTGCAAAGCTAGTTCAGCTGTGTGGTGAAGGTCGAAAGGTATGTACAGTGGCCGCGGCAACTCCGGTGGTGGCCTCACGAAGCAATCACTGTGCACAGTCTCACCAGCGGCTAAGGCCTCGAGATGTCAGCCCGAGCCTCGGATCGTAGCGCAGGATAACACCTCCATCTCTGGTGTAGCCTGCAAGGCGCAGCGTAGGCACGGATCTGCCCGTCATGCGGAAACCACCGTGGCGTACCGAAGGCTCGGGGCGAATCTTGGGACTCGTTGCCAACTGACAGCCCGGATTCCTTCGCTCGAGTAGCTGGCAAACTCTTTCTGAATCCGGTCCGCTGCCGGCGGCAATGCCTGCGTTTGGCCGCGTCTCCGGACAATGGCACGAACCTCGCACCGGCCAGGTTCAGATCAGCGTCTTTCTAGAGCTTGGATGCAAGCACTCACGAGATCTAAGCAGCAGGCATCAACGCGGCAAAGCGGGCAGGTCACGTTCCGCGACAGCCACGATCGAACACAATCTTCGTGGAAAGTGTGGCGTGCAGCACAAGGGAGTTGTAAACCATCCTGCGCAAACTCGGGCGAGGCCGGCTCTGCATTAGCAGATAATTCTTCAGCTTCAGAACTACGAACCATGAAAGAAGCGCGCCTCGTCGGGAGAGAGGGATGACAAACAAATCGCACACTCGGCTGCTTCAGTGCCCCGCCACCGGACAAGCTTTCTAAAGTCAGCGTCGTTGAAGCGCTCCACCGACGGGACTGCAGATTCCTTCGGGCATTCCAGGCAGTTCCCACTCTTTCTGGCATGACATTCAATCTTCGGGCTCCTCCAAATTCTCGCCGAGACCAGCTTCCAGTTCAGACCGGCGCGCGTCGAGGCGCTGGAAATAATCCTCCAGATCGTCTAGCACCTGAAACCAATACCAAATTGCATTTGGATGGTGCCAGGCTGGATATTACTCAGAAACTATATCAAGCAAGGAAGCATTGGCTGGAGGTGCAGGAGGGTGATCAGATTGCCCAGGGGGTCGGGATGCCACGATTGGATCGTCTGCTTCCTTGAGCTCGCGCCCGCTTCGCAGACAATTAAGCAAAACGACCCAAAAACTCCGAATGGGCATTGCGGCATTACACCGTGCGAAACTTCCAGCCAAGGCTCGCTGTCCGAAGTGTCTATGTGGTCAAATCGGGAATAGTCAATCTGCATCTGTCTACTGGTCAACTGAGGAAGCTAGCCTTCGTGGGTGGGGCAGGGCTGGGCGGCCTCTGCCTCGACCGCTCTGCCTGGGCGGTCGAGGTGGCTTGGCTTCTTTCTGTACGATGGAGTAGTCAGGCACGGGGGACATAAACTCAGCGACCGCATATTTTAAGTACAAAACCAAAACCGCTTTGTTGAGCCTTACGCTCCAAGCCAGCAAGGTGGTGAGAGTCAAGTGACACAAGCATTTGAGCAATAAGAGTTAGATCAGACCTGATCTCCAAATCGACAAACCACACTGCTCTAGCGTGGCATGTGTCGCTTGGGATAAGATCTTCCGCACTTCCTTCTTGTCTGCACTTTGACCTCTTGGTTGCGACGTACGCTCTGTTCGAGTGAGACATACCACGCGGCTTTGCATAGTTCCGATTCTCTGTCACCATATCTTCCCACAAATTCGTTGCTGTGGATTTGGCCCGAGTGCAGCGACCAAACTCTGAGAGGCAATGACGGCTTAGTCACCTAGTTTTCGTGGGTGCAAAGATCACCCGACCACGACGGCTTCAGGGTCAAGGACGTCCTCATCATCGCGCTTGTGCAGCCATCCATGGCGACGGGGGTCGGCACCTTCGCACTGTCTGGGTCTGGGCTGTTTCCAAAAGGCGGTCGAGATGAACGTCAGCAGCCCGAACCAGTCCTCAAAATCCAGTCACAGACATGACGGGTAATTGAGCGGTTTCACGCGAGGTCAGCAGACATTGGTTTCTTCACACCATCACTGCGACAGCGATCTGACGCGGAGGCTCGTGGTACAGTTTGGCGACTCGACGGGAATCTCGGGTCACCTCTGCGGACTTGGCCAGAGAAGTCTTCGTAGCCTTTCTTCGCTGCGAAAGAAAATCAGTTCCTCCTCCAACTCCGAACTGAGCGCGTCGCTTGCTGTGGTGCAGTTCTCACATCGGGGGTTCCCTCCAGACCCGACGAAGTCGATGTAGTGGTTCGCTCGCAGCAGCTCTGCATCTACGGTAACGAGACGAGCACCTGGACGCGGAACAGCGAAGTGGGGACCTACTTCAAGGACGTTGTCGGGATTAAGCACCAGAGTGTGCGATATCATATCCTTGGCTGGCCCTCTCATTCGATAGGACAGCAGTGTCTCACCCTTTGGATGGTCTCCCTGCATATACTGCACTTCTGACAGCTGTAAGGCAGCGACATCGTGTCGATCCGGTTCCAGGCTTTCGGCAATCGCGCGCCGCGAGCTGTTTGCAGCCCACAGGTAGGTATCGAGGCCGGGAAGCATCGCAATCCAGTCGACCTGGCCTTTCAGCAACATTGCACAGTGTGAGTTCGACTGGATCGCAAGCAAATTCTTGTTGTGCTTTCCCAGTGTGCCCGACACCTCGGGCATTGCGCTCGCGGACCAACGCGGAAAGTAAGTCACCTGGGAGTCACGCATTAAGTTAGGCTCAACTTCTCCGAAGGATCCGTCGTCGTCGTAGATGACAAACCGGTCAACGCCTGCCAGTCGGTGAAAGTTGAGCCAATCCCGAATCAGGAACGGGAAGCCAGAATCAGACAGCAGGCCACCAACGTCGTAGTGGATGCGGAGGCACACCGCCAGCATCACGCGCTTCTCGCCGTCGCCGTCGCTGCCAGTGCAAATTGGCACGGGAAGCTCCACACCGTGTATTTCGGAGAATAGCTTTAGGATGAAAGGCTCCGCAGGCCGAAGCAGGCACAGGGCAAAGCAATGTTAAAGCGAAGCCCATGATCGAGATAGGGACAGCCGGGACATCCCACACGAGGTCATCGCCAGCGAAGCTACGCTGCCAGGGGTACAGTGCCACATGCGGCTGAGACAGCAGGTGGCCAGCCTTTTCGTGCACACCTGGGAAGCAGCCATCCATACTGGAGGTAAAACCACCACCTCCACCTCTGCTTCCCCGTCTGTGAGGCGATGTCGAGGGAGCGCGAGGGCCTGGCCTAGAACGTGGAAAAGCAGGTCGCCATGTCTCCCACGGGTCACCTCCCCCTGCAGACAAGAGTGCTCGAATGCCTGCACAGTGTCCTGTACGCCGATCTCTTGGTTGGCGAGGAGATCTGCCGGCTGGGCTTCCAAATCCAGACTACAGAGCCAAGAGAACCACGAGAAGTCGAGGTCTGCAAACAGCCGTGCTACTTCAGCTGGTGCCTCTGCCTCGGCCGACAGGCACCAGGGGCTGGTGACCTTGAACTTGACACCGAAGTCCTCGGCAATCTCCTGCTGCAGAGTCCGCAATAGCAGCCGCACGCTCGGTCCCCAAATTGGGTCCTTGGAGTGGGCTTTGCATGAGCCCTTGGCGCCTCTACTCTACAGCTTACCGATCCCCATCCGGGTACAACAGAGCTTTTTGGCCAACCCCTAGCTGTCTGCCTATGCCCTGCAGGTCTTTACTTATTAGCCACTCCCCCGGCAAGGAGGGGCATGATTTTCGAGGTGTCGTTCAGGCTCGCGCTGCACATCCGGAGCTTCTACGAGCCTGCAGTAAATAGCCTGCTCTCGACTACAAAGACTAGGACTATCAACAACAGCCGCCGAAGAGGACGGCTGAGAACCTTCCAGAGGAAGGTCTGGAAATCCTGATGCCTTCTCTTTTACCAAGGAGGCAGCGTCTCAACTGACGTCCACCGCAAGACTGAGGCGGCATCCGGGAGCTTCCGGCACCCTATCTGCATTCAGTTCTTGACGAATGACTAGGCGCAGGTACTTCTTGACTCTTGACCCCTGAAAAGCGTGCGAGGAGTAACGGAAACCGGCTTGGGAAGTAACTGAAACCGCTCCCGCACATTGTAACCGAAACCCACGGCCGTGGCAACAGGAACTCCGGGGCTGGCGTAGCAGGACCACGACAGGCACAGGAACTGTCAACGGCAACCAGCAAGGCGCGTGCAGGAGGTTTTATGCTTGCACAGTCAAGGACATATGAAAACACATGAAACTATCTGCAACGAGTTCAGCCATGCATCACTCTGAATTCATGAAACTACAGCAAATGCACATGCTCTAACGACTATCAGCCTTCCTGCTTGTCTGGCAGCTTCTGCCTGCATGTGAGAAGCACGCATAAAATTGGTTGTGCGACCCGCTCAGTTTCGTAGCACCACACGCCTGTGTGGGTGCGTGTGCCAATGCATCGATATCTTCACTCGTGTCTTATCAACTTCAGGCCTGCCATTGTGGAACCGAGTTTCGGTGCGTTTTTGTTTGTCAGGAAGGTGAAGTACCTAAACCCCTCTTGAAACCGGACCTAACCCCCAAACCCTAAACCCCAGCGCTGCCAGCACCGGTTTGCAATCGCGAATGGCATGAGGTAGTGCCACTGCTTGAAGGCAAATGTCTGGCAGGGCAAAAAACTTCCATGTCCACAGCTACCTTCATCGAGATAGTGTGATTCCCCAAATTGACAAGGTCATGGCTAGCCGAATAGTTAGTGTAATGTCTAGCTTTCGATACGGGAACCAGGCGGTTTCTGTTACGGTCTCAGGCCTGGTTCCTGTTACTAGTTCCGGTTACAGTAAAGGCCTAGCTGAAAACCCTCAGGCTTGCCATTCACCTTTGAACAAGTCAGAACGACCCTAGCCTGTGCTCGGTGAAAAGATGTCTTGAGCACTGCATTTGCAACTGAGGCCATGTCATCTCCATCCATCAAGAAATCCCCGAAAATGTCTTCCACCAACAGCGTGTGGTAAGTGAACGCAGCGACCTCCGTGCTCTCCTCGTTGGCCCATTCCCACGTGGAGAGAATTCCTCTCTCCACAAAAGAGCACCTGTGTTTCACACTATGCACTTCCTGACAAACGAACGAAGCCACCAAGGTTTCGATGTGAGATCTTGACAGACAGCTGGATGACGAAAGCAAGGCTTTGGCAATGGCCAGGAGGTTTAGTTGCTCTTTGTGTCCTTGTTGCTTTGTGTGTTCGTCGACCCCAAGACATCGTTTCCACATGCTAACGCTGCCACAAATGCTTGTGGTCAGATTGTCCAGATCAGGTATCAGTATTGGCATCAATCTCATAGATGCCGAATAACACAAACTGCGTACAGTTGTGTTCGTGATTTTCCGTGACGCGGATTAAATGTCGGTTGTCGGTCCGTAGGTAGGCAGCGAGTGCAAGTATCAGCATCCGATTCGTGCATACTCTTATCATCCTGCGCGTCCTCATGGATGACCTTCATGGGAACACTTGCGAAGGCTTTTCGACTATGCAGATAGTGCGGGGGAAGAGGTGGCTTTTCGGGCACTGTGACGACATAAAGATCGTCGAGAAAGGCCAAAAGCGCATCGTCGGGGTGCAGTGCTGCGGCTGCGGCGGCTTGGCAAAAGGCGTCGTGTTGTCCGAGAGCGAACAAGGCCGGGGCGAGGGCGTCGCCTTGCTCGCAACCCTCGCCCTGGGGCACAAGCCGGCAGTTGCCAGCGGCATCCCACCAACAGTAGCTCGACGGCTGGCCGTAAAACAGCCTAACAAACGGGAGCAGCTTCGGTGCCACCTCGTGCAGTTTGGTCAAGAAGGCGGTGCGGGACATGCAGTCGTATGCGCTGCGGCCATCCAGCGACACTAGCACGGCCTCGGGGCGCAGGGAAAAAGCCGCGCGCGCGCAGGCTGCCAGGGCGTCCGTACCTGCGCGGGCTTGGAGCGCGAACTGGTACGGTCGTGTGGCCTGGTCAAAGGTGTGGGCCCACTCCTTGGCGAGCGTCCTGGACACCAGCAAGCGAAAAACGTCGCCTGTGGCTATACCTCGTACGCCCCCGTCGGGTTTGCGCAAAGCCGTTAGCCGTGCCATGGCCAAGCCGGCGACGATGTCCGAGGGCACATTGG